AAAAAAAAAAAAAGAGTGCTCATTCGGTGTTAGATGTCCTTAGCTATTATTATGAACTGTGATTACCTTCCCGTGGAGAATTCATGACTCCTAACTTCAGTCTTTATAGTGGATACAATGTTACATATTCATTAGCGATGGGATAAAATTTTATCTTTGCATGATGTAAATTCATAGACTTTTAAAAAAATTCGTAGATTTGACCTTTCAGATTTCATCACTTCTATTTTATAAAAGTTAATGGAGATGTAATTTGCGTGTAGCAAAGAGAATATTCTTTTTTCTTCTGAGAAGTAACCAGGTATAGTGGAAAAGGTTTTGGGATGGGCTGGCATTCAGCAGGGTCTGAGATTTAGCCCTCTGTGTACACTTCACTTTTTTTTTTTTTTAATTAAATCGTAGCCGTGTACATTAATACCATCGTGGGGTACAGTGTGTTGTTTCCATATACAGTTTGAAATGCTTTCATCTAACTGGCCAACATAGCCTTCGTGTCATTCTCTCAGTCATTGTGTTAAGACATTTATATTCTACATTTAGAAAGACTCACATGTACCCCCATAGGATAAACCATAGGCATGATCCCACCAATTGCCCTCCCTCCACCCATCCTCCCCCCCCTTTCCCCTTTCCCCCTATTCTTGGGCTAAAATTGGGTTATAGCTTTCCTATGCAAGCTATAAATTAGTTTCGTAATAGGGTTGAGTACATTGGATACTTCACTTCACTTTTATTATACATACATGTGAGCTAATTTACCAGAAAATTGGCCTCTTGGACACGTCTTCTTTGTTCCCTACGATGCCTCACCTAGTCTCTTATAGCTAAAGAAAACTTGCTAAGGGAATGGGAAGGTCTGTAGTTGTAACAGCAGCTCTGACAGCCCCGACGTGTGCCCAGAGGTACTCAGTAAAACATCAGTGGCTCATGCTCTGCTTTACATAGAACGGGAAGTTCTGTTTGTGACAGGAGTTTAAGATGCGTTCATTGCCTTTAAATCAGCGGATCTATTTTCAAATGCTTCACTCCCAATGAAAGATGGGATGCCCGATGAAAGACTTACCCTGGACAGATGTTGAAGGATAATACTGACCTGACTCAGTGTTCAGTCATACTGATCCTTACACAGAAAGAAAAACAGTACATGATCTCACTTAACGTGTGTGATCTTTTCTAAGCCAAATACACAGAGATAGAGAATAAAATAGTGGTTACCAGGGGCGGAGAGGATGAAAATGAGGAGATGTCAAAGGATGCAAAGTAGCAGCATGTGTAGGATGAACACCAGTAGGTGTCTAACAGACAACTATGGCTAATGATATTGTATTCAGGATTTTTGGCCAGATTTGTAGATTTTAGATAACCATGTGCGATGATGGATATGTTAATTTGCTTCACTAAAGTAACCCTTCCACTGTCTGCTTCTATCCTATAACATCATGCTGTAGATCTTAAATCAACACAATAAACTTAATTTTTTAAAAAAGGAGTAGAAAACAAAAACATGAAGCCCCTATCCTTGCTTTGTTTTTCTAGCTAATTTGTGGCACTGGATCAACGAGGCTTGTGGTCGCCTAAGTGGAAATAAGGTAAAGTCTTTTGTGCCTCCTTAAAGGACTTTCAACAGTAGGTTGATACAGGTGCAGTACTCAAAAATCGAGCCCCATTGCTCATGGGGCGCTTTCATGTGTGGTGATTAAACCTCAAATCCTGGGATGGATTCCTGTGGAAACACTGAAGCCCAAACCCACGCCTGTGTTAAATGCCTGTTTGTTTTGATTTCATACCATTTAGGTAAGTATATTATTTTTTAGTAGCAATCTTGATTGTCCAGTAAAGATCCCTAAGAAGAAAGATGGGCAACTTTCCCCCATGCTGTCATTTGGTATCTTTTTATTTTAATATTACTTCAAAATGACAAGAAAGTGGTTCATAAGGCTTCCATATACCTTATAGTCAGAGCCACCCGTTGTTTACATTTTATCACATTGCTGTATTATCTGCTCTCTCTGTGGTTTTTTCTTGAACCATTTTAGAGTGAATGGAAGATGGTGTGTTCCTATATCTGTACATACTTCAGTGTACATTTCTTAAGAACAAGGGCATTCTCATACATAAACATGGTATGCTTATCAAAATCAAGAAATTTAACAGTGGTACAATACTGTTAGCCAATCTACCTTTGATATTAAAATTCCATTAATTATCCCATTAAATCCTTTATATTTATTTTCATCAGTATATAAATATACAAATTTTAAAGCAAGACCTCAAACTGATTTCTCCAGTTCCAGTCCCCAAACTATAGGATTCATCCTTGTCTTTCTGTTTTTCCACATTTGAATCCGCCCTTCCTCAGTAGTATGAAACAGCTCCTATGACTATCAAAATACTTCCTCCTTTGCTCAATTCTAGAATACACAGAGAGGAATTTCAGAGTTACTAAGCCATACCACAGCAAAACACAGAGCTATTCAATATTTTTTTTTCTGTATTTAGACTGAGATGATCTAGTCAATATACTGTGTTAAAAAACTATTTGGATAAGCTCTTCCCCTTGCTCAGGTGTGAATATTCTATTCATTTGAAATGCAACTAGATTGACTTGGGTGTTTTCCATTATAGAATTCTCTTGTAATTTTAAATAACACACAAGTAATGTTTCATGGTAAATGTTCCACCTGCAGTTGTTATGGTGGAAATAACTAATATAAATACTGCTTTCAGTACTATTTAGCTGAACATGTCCTAATAACTCTGAGTATTAATGCCTCTGCTTCTGAATTTGAATCAGCAGGAGTCCTCAGGTGACACCTCTAGTCAGCGCGAGGTATGTGAAGGCGTCTTACTGCTGACTCTGGAGGAGAAGAGGTTTCCAGAAGATATGTGCTATCCAGACAGTGGTGGCATCTGTGGGGGAGCGTGTGCAGGAGGTGGTCCCTATGCACAGGGTGAAGACGCCAGGATGCTCTCCTTGGTCAGCGAGACCAAGACCGAGGGGGACCCCTTCAGGCAAATTCCCATGGAAGATGATGAATACATGGACAGGCCCTCCCAGGCCCCAGACTGTCTACTATTCCTCACTCAGCCTGGAAGCAAGTGCACACCCCCTTTCTCTGAGCCCCTGGAAGTGGGGGAGAATGACAGTTTAAGCCAGTGCTTCACAGGGACAGACAGCACGGTGGATTCAGAAAGCTGCACTTTCACTGAGCCCTTGTGCAGGACTGAATGGATTCCTGTATCCTCTGAAAAGTACTTGCAAAAAGAGGTGGAGGGTGGCAACTGCCCCCACTGGGCAGCCAGCTCCAACTTGGCAGATGGCTGCACAGGCTGTGGGAGCCCTCCTGGGGAGGACCGTGAACCCCTCATGGATTCCCTGAAACATGGACCCTTGCCCCAGTGTGCCTATGGAATGGGCCTTCCCCCTGAAGAAGAAGCCAGTGGGGCAGAGAGGGGAGACCAGTCTGAGGACGGGGCTGATGGGAGACTTCCAAGCTCAGCAAGGGGAGGCACTGGGTCTGGAGGTTCCCCTAGTGACCAGCCACCTGCATCTGGTAAGTGACTTTCCTGGTCTCTCACTTCTGAGCAAAAAGGCCTGTTTTTGTACAGGATTTGGGGTCAGCTGAGGAAAGAGGAAACTAACAAGAGAAAAATTCAGCTTGAAGATTTTCTCTTAATGAGCATCTTAGGCTGTGGCAGTGGCTCACACCTGTAATCCCAGCCCTTTGGGAGGCCAAGGTTAGGGGATTGCTTGAGGCCAGGAGTTTGAGACTAGTCTGGGCAAGAAAATGAGACCCCATTTCTAAAAATAATTAAAATATTAATGGGGCACAGTGGCACATGCCTACAGTCCCAGCTACTTGGGAGACTGAGATGGGATGATCACTTGAGCCCAGGATTTTGAGATTACAGTGAGCTATGATCATGACACTGCACTCTTATCTGGGTGATAAGAGACCCTATCTCTTACCAAAAAAAAAAAAAAAATTGCTGAGGAAAGAGAATCGCTTAAGCCCAAGAGTTTGAGGTTGCTGTGAACTGTGATGCCACGGCACTCTACTGAGAGCGCATAGTGAGTCTCAGTCAGTGTCAGATTGCGTATTGTGCTGTGTGACAGCGTCTTCTACCATTCAAGCTATTTCTGCGTGTCCTGTAACCTTTTCCATTCAGGCTCCTCATGCTAGGATCAGGCCCTATCCCCAATATCAGCCCCCAAAAGATGAAGTCAACACTGACACCTCAAAGCTGGCTGAATCAGAGTTCCCTCAGATTTCTGGGTTTTGGTGTTGTGTTTAAAGCAATATACGGCCTCAAAAAATCTCCTCCAGGAAAGGTCTTATAAATTTCAGGAAAAACAAAATTGTCTAGTTAATCCTGCATTAATGAATATTTATTGTGAGTAGTGTGTTGCTTCTATACCAAATTGACAATACAGTAAAACGATCCTTTAATGTTTTATATGAGAAGCCCCTTTCATAACTACCAAGTATAATGTATTTATGGAACTAGGAGGATAATTTTAACAATTTAACATCATTATAGAGATTTATCACTGCAACACTGCTTAAGCATGAACAACCCACCAATTATAACATTATAACTTTTTTTCATGAGGGTAAAACACCATCTGTGTTATGTGCTTACAAAGGACTTTGCAGCTGATAGCAAGGGCTTCCTCCGGCTCCATGGGTATTTGTCATGTGGGGGTGAGGGATCTCTTTGCGAATCTTCGGAAAGCATAGACTGTCTCTCCAGAAAATGCATGTATAGATATATACTATTTAAGGGGCTTCACAGAATCCTCTAGCTCTCTAAAAAAAAAAAAAAAAAAAAATTCCCATTCATGGGCCATTAGTCTCTAGAGATGCTTTTTCTTTTCTGCCTCTTTATTTAGACTACAAGTGGCACTGGCAGCCAGTCTTTGAATTTTTTTATAGCCCTACAGTAGCTAGATCTGTGCCTTAAACACAGAGACTTTTGCCTCATGCTAATGGTGGTTCCTAGCTTTCATCTCTTCCCCAAGCTTTGTGATTTGGCTGCAACTTGACAAATTCACTGATGCATAAATTCTGTAATGCCATTTCTCGAGTTGAAAAGAAGAGAAAAACTGGTATGTTTTTCCTTCAGAAGACCTCAGAGGTTTTTGAAGATTCTAAGGAATTTCCAGGACTAAAAATTGGGCTGTGTTGTTTATTTGCATTGTTCTATGTCCTATCTCGTGGCTCGTTTTCTTCCCAAGGGTTATGCAGACACACAGAGCACTAGCTCTTTGAGGGTGTAGAAGGCTGAAACTCTGTCTATGGCAGAAGCCAGGCTTTGGCAGCACTGCCCGGGGCAGGGCAGACCCGTTTTTTAGTTGGTGACACCAGAAAGATGACATGACAGTCATCAGCAGTTCTTTGAGTAACAGTGGTGGCCACATTTAAAGACCGATTGATTTTTTTTTTTAGTGCCATGAAACCAAAGCCAAACCTTTGCTGTACTATAAAAGAGTTATAACAGTGGCCTCATCTGGTTTTCATTACCTTGTATTTCTCCAGCACGGAACCTCTAGGCATGGAGGAAAGGAGTCAAAAGTGTATCCTCAGTTAAATGGTGTTAATTTGCAAAGAGTTTACATCACTTTTTCTGTCCTCATCTGGGGCTCAGCCATGCAAAAGGTCTGTGGAGAGTCTGCCTGCGGTTGGGCGCCAACAAGCAGGCCAAATTAATTTTCACCTGAGAAGCAGCAGCCAGATTGATTTCGAAGGCTGTGCCTTTCTTATAATTCCTTCTACAAGAACAGGCCTTATGGTTCCTGGTCAAAATAGCACTTTCTCATTCTTGCTTTTTTCTTTTTCAAATTGTCATAATTTATGTGCCATAAAATGTGTGAAAGAGGCTGGAGCTTGGGTGAGAAGGAGGGGCCTGATCCTGTTTGGTTTCCCTGTGCTCTCAGGGCTGCAGGGAGGTGGCCTTTTTAATTGGGTTTTTGGATTTGTATATGTGGGTATTTACTTTTACTTATAGCCAAATCAGGTGGTTTTGGAGCAATGACAGTGATTGGGGATTTTCTTTGTAGGCAAGAATGTCTCTTTTTGTCCTAGCATCTTTTTGGAGACAGTGATGGTTTTACAAACAGCACCACAAGTATAGATAACTTTTAAAAATAATAATAATGTTTCTAAGGACATTTTAGCAGTGTTTTATAACTCTTAAAATACAGGAAGAATTATTAACAAAGACCAACAAAAGGGGAAAACATCTTTCTCATTATATTTTAAATGACCATGCCTTAATTTAGGTCTTAAGTTATGTCTATCCTGATGATGTGATGGTCACCTTGGTTACAACCCTCTCACCTGGAGTTTGGAGTATTCTCACTGCACCCCTAGAGAATTGTTATTTCATGCGAAAGAAACATTGCTTAAGATTAATGTGTCTATCGTTGGCCAGTGGTTTGATTTTGGCTCCTGAAGTCACTTGTTGGGTTCAGCCACTTCTGAGCTGGAGAGAGTTGTTCATTTACTGGGCCTGCAACAGTTCTTGATGAACTGGCTACATCGCCTTTACTGAAGGTCCACTGAGCTATGGAGACTTGGAAGACAAGAAGGGATTAATGTCCAGCAGTGGACAACATGAAAAGACTCAATCACTTGCCCCTCTCTGACCTATGGCCTGTCATTTGTATTGAGTCTTCGGATCTTTCTCACCATGCAGGGACACCCTCACATCCTTACCAACTAGATTCTAGGCAACCACAACCCATCAGGACTTCTCATAACCTGATCTTTCTAGTATCTCCAAAGCTGATTTAGTCATGATATATTAAGTGAATAAATATTTATATATGATTTTCAACCAATGTGCTGTGAGGGGATCTTAGGTGTGCCACAAAAATTTTTAAAGATGGCTCGGCGCCTGTGGCTCAAGTGGCTAAGGCGCCAGCCACATACACCTAAGATGGCGGGTTCGAATCTAGCCCAGGCCCACCAAAACAATAATGACGGCTGCAACCAAAAAAATAGCCAAGCGTTGTGGCAGGTGCCTGTGGTCCCAGCT